CTTTACTGGCGAGTAGGAAACTACAAAAAAGGACGCGTTGGAAATCCCGCGCAATTTAAAATTTAATTAAGGTCTAATATAAAGTAACCACTTCTAAATCACGCTTGTTCTCTCGGTTGATTATCCTCCAGCGTTTTGGATATTCTGTTAAGAATTACCATGGCAAAAACTTTGTAGATGTTCGACATTAAGCTAATAGGCCTATAATTATTCATAATATTCTTATCTCATTTCTTGTGTAGCAGTATTATGGTTGATATTGTCCACTGATCAGGTATTATCTCACTCTGCAGCTGTTCGTTAAATAGGTATGTCAGTATTGGTAAAAGTTGATCTTTATTTTCAATAAGAAATTCGTTACTGATTCCATCTGAACTGGGAGCTTTATCTTTCTTTTGAGTTTTACAGCTTTTTCCACTTCTGCGGGTATTATTTCTAGTAATTTTTCCCCGCCCGAAGGTCTGTTGTTTGATTGTTGTTTTTATTCGCATACAACTCTCGGAAAAAGTTTGTGGCTATTGAGATAATGTCCACTCTATTTTTTCTTAAATTTCTTGAATGCTTTTTGGTGCCTCCAGTCTCCTGAATACATCTTTCTTGTAATCCTAACCTATGTCTTTGGCGGAATTGACTAAGTACTCCAGCTTAATTATGCTTCCCTCTTCGTGACACCTTTCGACAACTAGACACTATTTAAGTCTTGACACTGTTGTCAATACACCAATACTAATTAGAATTAAACGGTTTCGTTGTTCTTTATGCACACAGTAGAGGAGAGTAATAATTTGCAAACGTCTCTACTTCCAACTACAACGCGCTTTTATAAAACTGAGAGTGAATGGAATTATGTAAAGCTTAACATTTAAAATTGATAATCAATTATGATAATATTAATAAGATCTTCTAAGCTGGACTGTATTATCCATAATGAAATTCGCAAACTCTGTAATTGGATATTTGATTAAATTAGAAGAATTTATTATATTTTGAAGGAATGTTCTTTCCTTAAATATAAAGTATTTAATCAAAATTTCAGTAACTTTTTGATTCCGGCAATTTCAAACTTTGAGCTAATATTCTATCATATTAAATTATATCTATTGAATATTGCGCTAATTGTGCCTATTTTATCTTTACTAATTATATGATATGACTTTCCCGTTGTTACGATTCTTTGCCATGATAGTCACGCTTAGCAACAAGCGAAGCAAGCAAGTTTGTATGTCCAATTAAGAATTTTCACACAGTTTACAGTTTTCCAAATATAAAGTTAAATTTCAATCAATCGTTAACACTGTGTATACATTAGATTAGAACCAATTAAATTTTGTCTGAATATTTTTCTTGGACATACATGTTAAATATCTGGACAAACAAGATGAAAACTGTTAACAAAGACATATAGTTTGAGGGGAAAGCCAGATTTTTTTTTTTACTGTAAATTGAATAAGATTAGCCAATGTATTTTGTAATATATTAAATTGTAGCTCTCCGAATTCAATCTCAACCAAGCTAACATAAAAAATCTCGAGCTTAAGTCAGTAAAGAAACGAAATCAAACAGGATCAACGAAACAATAAAACTGAGATGGCAAAGAAGTTCCATTGATTGTAAATCGATAATCCTCGTAAAAATTTAAATTAATTTACTTTGTAATACTTAATCAAATCTGCGCGAATCTGCTGCTTTTGATTTTAACCCTTCGTCTGTTGCACGCTGGTATCCCGGCGGATGTCAAGATGGCCGATTGTGGCCGATACTGTGGACCCACCGGGAAACCAGCGCAGACCAGTAAGACACATTTCGCGCTATTTTTAACCGTTGAAATATTTCTCTCTCCTTTTATCATATACTAAAATGCTAAGGTGTAAATGGGCTAGCAATAATCACACCTTTTTACAATAGAGCTCTGTAATATGAGACCCATTTTATGACTCACAGAGCGATAGTACTTTGTACCTAAGTTTGAAAACATGTGTTGTGTAAAAATATTGTATGGCACTTGTAAATTTTATGAATTTAATTAGTTTATTATATTATAAGCTGTAAATAAAAATAAAAATAAAGACCAAATATTTTATTCGTTTTATTTCGTAAAGAAAAATATAAACTTTTAGACGTTGCCAATATTTAGATTGAAGACTACAGCTGCAGTTTAGTCTTTTGACGAAGAAAATTTAAAGAAAACAATAGAATAGATAATAGAGAGTAATATTTAACCCAAAGTTATGAATAATTTCAATTAAAATAGAAGATATTTGAATCTAAAGAAAAAAAGGATAAAAACCAAACCTGCGTCTGTTGAACGACCGGGAAACCATCAACAGTATCGGCCATATTGGGAAATTTTTGTTCAACAGACGAAGGGTTAAATCTAATGTTATATAAATGTAAAGATTGTTATACAAACGTTATATGAATGTAAATAAGACAAATTTTCTTTAAAAAACTGCGATTTACTCGGACTTTGCACGGGTGATTTCGACATCTTAACAACAGTGCCACCTATCGGGTCCAATCGTGAATGTATACCATCCAGGATCCCACCAATTAGGAGGATTTTAGTGGCAAAACACATATAAATAATTATGTATATCCAAAGATTAAATAGTGTTCGAAGTAAAGTGTAAGTAGCAAAGAGTATGTTCAAGGTCTTTTGAATAAAAAATAGTATTTTAATAAAATAAAATAAAAATATAATAAGGTCGTTTTCTGTTAACTGTAACTACCGGTTCTTCTTCTAGGCAATAATAGCTTCACTTGTTTTTTTTATTAATTTATCGGTTTAATGCAGACTTGACATTTTAACGTTTCCTAGTGATATTAACACATAATGGAGTGGAATTGGAATAATTTATTATGCCTAAGATAACAAGCCAAGTCAGCTAAATTTTTTTTATTTATTTATGTATACACAACAAGATACGGAAACAGTCTTATAGTAAGTTCGACCAAAGGTTCTACTTATTCCATAATTTGCTGAAATATCTTGTATATTAAAAATGGCATTTAAATATTTTTTTAGTGTTTAATATTATAATAATAATTGAATTCGTGGTAGAGCTATGACGTAACATAACATAGATGCTATGGTCATGGCACGAAAAGGTTGGTTTGATCAGGGAAGGACCTTACAGAATTTTTATTTTTTTATTTTAAAAAAAACGTTACCTCCACACTAGGATTTTCTCCTGTATCGTGGGGGCAGTTTACAAACACAAATTTCACAAGGACAAACATCCAAACTCGGAATAATTACTTGTAGGTCGTACAAATACTTGTTCCGTCCGGGATTCGAACCCGCGACCCCCAAGCGCAGCCACTCATTGCTAAGCCACTACGCCACGGAACCGTCATGTCGAATACTAGCGTAAAATCGCAGCTTTATGCTATTGTTTCCTGTGGTGAGTGTAGCGATCCGGAGACCCTATTTACGTCCTAAAGGGTGATAATGCATGTGTATTTTGATTCTTAATCGATAATAGATGTAGATAGGCCACAACATCCACTTTCCATCATGATTGGTGGATTGTGTGCTTGTTTATCACACTTATTATATTTAAAAAATACAGCATCCACTTACCATCGGTAAATAAAGTTAAAGGCGTTATATGGTGCTGTGCGCTTATGTACGTATGAGTATACCTACACGTAATTTTATATCGTAGGATTCTTTTTCGAACTTTAACGAACTTATCACATTTTTGGTGAATATTTGCTCCAGTAGTGTTATATGCTTTTTTTAAATAAATGATTTTTCGACCGTACGTTTCTTAGTTTTAGAAAAAATTCAATTAAAATTATCTCTCGACAATTGATTTATGTATTACACCTCTCGACCACCAAAAGTAGTTTATTGGACGTCGAGAATTTTTTAAATGATTAATTAACAGTATTGGTAATGTACGACAAATTTTGTGATCCCTTTGAGCCTAACGATATATTCACTAAGCTTTCATCACACAAAAAGCATTAATAGCCGTAATAAAACAACTTTGTAAGAAGCCTTAGACAATCTATTTCACCGACCTTCAATCTTTTTATTATACTCGATAAAGAGCCGTTTTATGGTCGCGACATATTGGCGAATATTATATGAATAACATTTTTGACTATTATAGAACATTGGTTAGTTACAGTAATATGTAGGTATAGATTACAATTACTCTAAAATTATATTATATATTTTTTACAAATATATTGTATCGCTCGCTATGCATATCGTTATTATCTAAAAGCGTACGTAAAATCTTTAATTTAGTTGCCTTTACTACGTTTTGATTAACAAAAATGTTTAAATAACTAGCATTTATTAGTATTTGTAATTAATTATAAGGTGATCTCTTTTTGTTCATGCTGGCCATCTTAATGATTTGATAATTAAATAAATACATTTATAAATTATTTTTCAATAATCCTTTATCGTTTTTTAAAATTATATACTATTTATTATAATATAAGGTAAATTGTTGATATCGACTCTTCATATTCCTTAATATAAGTCCATAAACGTTTATTTCTGGACAAGATGCTCTCTCATTGTAAGGTTGAATTGCCACAATCGCTACGCTTGGCAGGCGGATTTGTGATCGCATACACCTTCACGCTATTCCCTTCACGGATCTAAGTTATTTAAAGTCTGGCGGTTATACCGCCATCTATCGAAAGCCATTTCTTTCTGGCGATTCCCATAGTCGTCTCTTACGAAATCCACCAGACGAAATGCGGTGACAACATATTGACGCTTAATAAAAGCCCATGATCTTAAACAATAAAACGTACATAATTTGAACCGGTTTTTGTTTAATTTTATGATGACAATTTTTCTTTATTGTGGTTCAGATTTGGACTTGACATTTAGACGTTTCCTGGCTCGACTGATCTGGAAAAGAAAGTAGAAGATTTTAATGATATAAATACTCGTGTAAACTTGAACGAGCATCAAAACAACAGATACCTTACACACATTCACAACTATCCTATCTTATTCTACTATCATAATGGTTGCAAAAGTAAGTCAAATGTTATATTATTTACTATTTAATATTTCTGTAGTAGTAAATCACATCTTTCTTTTCCTTCATTATCATCTGCCCGTAACAATCAAATCTACGTTGATCTTTCTTATTGGAATTCTTGTTAGCCTGAGTATTTTTCATCTGGCTTATAGCGCCATAAATGTTTCTGGCATCACATAGTTGCCTCCTACGATACTCACGGGATGAAATTTGTATATAAATTATATCAGGATATCATAAACTTACAGATGTAAGACTCATTTTCTGCTTCTGCGTCTGTCTGGGTAGAAATCATTCTCTTACTTATTTCTGTCGCCAAGCAGTTCGTGCGCTGCTGTGTTCCTGCCTTAAGTGTATAGAGAACCCGTATAGTTGCAGGCTGTGAGAAATTACATCTTAGTCCTCAAAGGCAACAAAGCATCTGTATTTCAACACTAACTTACCAACAAGTGGACAGTAACTTCAATTTTATAAAAACAGAAACGTAATAAATAGCACTTAAACTCCTTTGAAATTCTTTTTTTTTACCTTTATAAATTATGAAGTATAACTTTTTGTTTCAGTTTGTCTTCCTTTTCGCCCTTGTGGCAGCAGTCAGTGCCTCGGATTACTCTGGCTTCTCTTATGGTGTTGCTGATCCTTACACCGGTGACTACAAGAGTCAGATTGAAAGCCGCGCCGGTGACAATGTTCTGGGCCAATACTCTCTGCTTGAGGCTGATGGAACCCGCAGGACTGTCGATTATGCCGCTGGTGCACAGGGCTTCAATGCTAATGTCAGGAAGGACCCTGCTCTGATCCCGGCTGCTCCTTTCGCCTATACCGCTCTCCCCTATGGATACAGCTTACCTTATAGCTACGGTAACATCGCCAGCTATGGTGGCCTCGGATACGCTGCACCTTACGCCTTCAGACGGTTTGGACTGAACTGAATGTAATCGATTTAAATCGTAAATTTGTTAATAAAATGTAAACCTTTATCACATTTCATGTTATTTTATTTTACTGTGTAATTTATACTTTTACTTGATGGGAATGGATCGGGTTAACCGAGGAAGGACCACAATCATGAAGAATCCATTCATTCATTTATTCATTACAGTACATCAAAAGACGCCGCTAAACATAGGCCTCGCACATAGATTGCCTCATATTGATTGCGTGCCACAGTTGCCACGCTTTTCAGACGGGATGGTAACCGACGTTGTTTAGGGAGGACTTGCCCTAATCACCACGCTTAGTTGGTCTGCGCCATTGCATGGTGTTGATCTTCGGTCTGGGTAATTAATAATGTCCTCCAGACCGAATTTTGGTCACGGCGGCCTGCCTCAACGGAGACTAGCCGTCGGTGCAGGACAGGATTATAGTGCCCAAGTGTATGCGCAAGCACAGGTGCACTCTCACTCATCTATTCCCTCACTCCCATAAACCGACACGACCGGAGACAGATCAGGCGCTGGACCAATGGTTTTACGTGCTTTCCGAATCACGAGGGTGGGACACCACTTACTTCCTGACTCCAGGCAGCTAATGACAATTTCTTGACAGAAAAACACATTAATTAAACTCTGCGGTAAAATTAATGTGAAAATTTTTATATATTTTCATACGTAATAATATATATTATATATACTCCACTTGGCTTATGAAACCTAAGAAGTAAAGGAATCTAAAAGCATTTCCAACTTTTCCATTTAGATGACTTTGTGTCACTCGTACTTTAGTCTGGTTATCACATCTACAAAATTAAGACCTGTCTAATAAACTTTGTTAACTCAGTGTTAATTATTTTTAAATGATAAGGGTGAAAAATGAACACAGTCCACTTGAAAGTAAGTTGATACTGTCGCCCATAGCCATCTACATCTATCCTTGGCTAAGAATCAAAATACAGATTCGCTGTAAGATCTAAGGAATAAGATGGTATACCAGATTTCGAGTAAAAAGGGTCGCCAGTTCTCTAATCTTACATCTTTTATTCTATGGGATTGTGGTCCTTACCCGGTCAAGCCGACCCGTTCGTGCCACAACATTGTAATAGCGTGGCTCTACGACGTAAAAAACCGAAGTTGTTTAATGTATTGATGAACATGCCAGAAAAACTTAATAGCTGGCATTCTCCTTTAGCTTCGTTTCCTTACATAATTTCAATATCGAGCATACAGCAAAATCCGGTACAAGTAAATCAGCGCTTGGAATCAAAATCGTAAAAAAATTATTTTAATGATGACGTTTACCTGTTATGGAAAGAAACAGCTTTTGTCGTCATAAAATTTCAGAAATTAATTTTAGAGAGCTCGGCTAACTAATTATAACATAATATTTTTTAAATTTAATATCTCGGAGCGACAGTAGCCTAATGGCATGGTGCGGACCGCGAACTCAAAAGATAGTGGGTTCGAATATGCCATTCGACTACTGTAGTGAACCACTCCTAACACAAGCATTTTAAGCTTACCAGGAGTGGTTTAGTCGAATATTAGTAATGTTTATAGCATTGCTAGTATTTTTTCCTAGTACCTTCAAAGTAAGCAGATTGCGTTCACATACTCCTATCTCTATAAATATAAAAATCAATTGATGTCCGTTAGTCAGGCTAAAATTCGAAAACCGTATCTGTCACTCCAGCTCTTAATATGCCATATCCGCCTCAATTAACATTTGCCTGAGCGTACAACTGTACTTCATCGGCATATAGATGATAAGCACACTGAAGGTTGTGAGTGATAAGATCAATAAATACTCAAAATAACATAGGAGAGAGACAATGGAGCCCTGAGGGACACCACCATTTATGTCACACTAGCTTGATGCAGACTCATCAATGCGGACCTACTGCTGATGTCCCTGAAGATAAGTTGAGAAACAATCCAGTGCTTCGGAAGAAATCATTGAATGGGAATGGATAGAAAGCAGGATGTCATGACTGATTGTACTGAAGGCGTTCGAAAAGTCAACCAAAGCCAGTACAGTGACCTTGGTGTCCTCCACGCTCGCCTTAATATCACCAGCGACCTTAATAAGAGCGGAAACAGTGCTGTGACCGGGCCTGAAGCTAGACTGAAAAGAACTTAATAAATTGTTCTTTTAAACAAACAGAGATAGTTGGCATGTACACAGGCTTATAGTACTTTGGATAGAAAACGAAGAATGGATATAGGTCCAAAGTGATTGGGCAAAGTTGTATTGGAAGTTTTCGGCAAGGGATTAACGTAGACCATGCACCCCAGTAATGGGAAAACTCCGTAATCTAGGGAAAAGTTAATGATATGGAAAATAACTGGAAGTGTATGATTAAGGATATTAATGATCATACGGCGGCTGATTTTATCGCAGCCCACAGCGTTTGATTTAATGGAAAGGATTATCTTTTTAGTTTCCGAATTAACTGGAGAAAAATTGAAGGGATCGATATTTAAATAAGGTAAGCTATTTAAATAGTCAACAGTATGACACTTGGTTTGGTGATCCAGAGGAATATGAGAAACAAAATGACTGTTGATATAGTCCAAACCAAGTGTCCCCTGAAACTCAAAATGAGGCTGTTTACCATTTCCGAGAGTCCCTAGAAACTTCCACATATCGGCAGAAGAAGAGGAAACCATGTAATCAAGAATATGTCGGCGTTTAGCGTTGCGTACCATCTGATTACACCGATTCCTAGCAGCTTTATAGAGGTTCCATCTCTCGTCACTCCACTCTTTTCTAAAGCGTTGAAAAGCCTGGTCCCTACACCTCATGGATACGCGAATACCTCTCGTCATCCACGGAGCAGGTGGTCGCTTATCTTACACCCTCTGACTGGAGAATGCACATCATAAAGCTTGAGAACAGTGTCGTTAAACGCAGCGACTTTTTCGTTAACAGTGGGGGCGGTCACCACTCTATCCCATTTTATTTAAGATGCATCTAACTACAACCCTTTTAAATCCATATCATATTAGCATCCGAGAAAACTTCAATTAGGTCGCTGTAGTGACTGGGTATGCTTTGTGCATTGGCATGACACACGTTCAATAAAGAGTGCGCCTGATTAAACGTATGCCGCACGAATTCACCAAGCGTATTAGATGCAAAACAAAAACTATTGTTATTAGACAATGTAACAGATTCATAGGCAGAAAAAAAGAATCTTCATCAGAATACGTTAATATAAAAAAATACGATTGGCACTCTGGGACTGCCGCGGTAAAGCTATTGCATAGCATTTTTATCAACTTATGCAATTATAATTATTTATTTATTTTATTTATGCAGTATTTTTTTTTCTGTTAGCAAAAATGTTTGCTCCATGCAGGAATCGAACCCATGATCCGCTACGCTGCATTCGGGTGGTTCAGTTCAGTTCATGCCATCAAAAATAATATATAAATATAAAAAATATATTTAAGTATAAAGTCTGTGTTTATTAAATAATCTAAATTCACGAAAGTTGCTAGCATGACGACGACTCATATAAATCCAAAGAATATACTTCTTGCAATAAACTATATTATTGTTTAAAATATTTTTTGTTATCGTACAATACATGCAAGTATAAATATAAGTATATAAAATATAAGTAGTCTACACGTACGATTTTGGTACTATTTTTGGTAGTATTTTTTTTCCTTCATTTTTCTTTAAATCTTTCTGACGCTCATAATATGCCCTTTGACGTGCATTAGTTTTTTTTTCTTTTTAGCTCTTTACGCTTTTCTTCTCTATAAAACGAAAATATCTAGGTATAAATAATAGGTATAAATAATTAGGTATAAATAGTGTAATGACACACCAAAACAAAATTATTCATTTAAAAAAAATAACGATATTAAGAAGTGATTATCGAATTTCGCGCGATGTACATTTATATAGATATAATATCATATATACTTTCTCTGCGCGGCATTAGTGTTCATTATCTATACACCAAAAACAAAGGTAAGTACTGAATAGTACACGTGCTTGGTTCGATGGCTTCTGTTATTATACATAATGAAGAATGAATTTATTTATATATATATTTATATACGTGGTAGAGCCATGCTGCAGTTATATTAGTAGTATAGTTGTAGCACGAATGGGTCGGCTCGACCGGGGAAGGACCACGCTCTCACAGAATACCAGCGTGAAATAGTAGCTTAATGCTGCTGTATTTCGTATGGTGAGTGTAGAGAACCGGAGACCCTTTTTACTGGAAACGAGGCATTCCGTCTTAGTCCTCACGGGTGACAACGCATCTGCATTTTGATTCGTAATCGAGGATAGATGTAGATGTCTATGGGCCACAGCAACCACTTACCATCAGGTGGACTGTGTGCTCGTTTGTCACCCTATCCTATATATATATATATATATATATATATATATATATATATATATATATATATATATACAGGGTCATTTTTAATTTACTAAAGACCTTTTGGGAATATAATGGTGGCATAATATAGGCCGGTTGCTGTGCTTTCGACACCAGCTAAAGTACTGGAGGCTGCAGTACACAAGAGCATCCTCTCGCAAGTTAATGTACAGCTTTCGGATGAGCAACACGGTTTTAGACCTGACAGGAGCACCACCAGCAACCTAATTAATTATATGAATTATATTGTACCTGAAGTGGATGCTGGAGGACAGGTAGATGTAGCTTTCTTGGATTACAAAAAAAGCTTTCGACCTAGTGGATAATGACATACTGCTCACAAAACTGGCAGGTGTAGGATTTGCTCCCCATTTACTAACATTTTTTGCTAGTTATATGCGGAACAGAAAGCAGTATGTAGAATAATATGCGGGGTGTAGGTCAGAAAACTACATATTTAACTAGGTCCGGAGTAAGTCAGGGCAGCAATCTCGGTCCATTGCAATTCATATTGATGATAAATGACCTTCCAACGGTTGTCAAAGATGCTCATTGTACTCTATTTGCAGATGACCTGAAACTGTATCTTGCTGTGAGGAACAGAGAGGATTGCCAAAAGTTACAACAAGATATAGATAGGGTGGTAGCCTGGAGCCAACATAATAACTTACAATTTAACATCACGAAGTGCATAACTATGACCTTCAGCCGTGTATTATCTCCAATTACATACCAATACCAGGTTAACGGGGCTCCAATAGCGAAAGTGTCAAAAATCAAAGATCTAGGGGTTAATTTCTCCTCTAAACTAGAATTTGGAGAGCATATAACCAAAATCTGTAAGAAAGCCTACAGAAATTTGGGATTCGTACTACGGATAGCTAGGGACTTCACTAATATAAAGACAGTTATTGCATTATATAATTCTTTAGTGAGGAGCCAATTAGAATTCAACGCGGTCATCTGGTCTCCACATGAGACTAAGTATAGTATCATGTTGGAGAGAGTGCAGAATATATTTATTAGATATTTATATCAAAAAATGTATGGAGTATACCCATTTTACCCAAATAAGTATCCTACCTTATTCACCTTAGGTATGGTAGGATACAATGAGCTAAAGGTTAGGAGGAATTTAGCGCTTGTTTCATATATCTTTAAGGTGATGAGGGGAAAGATTCACAATCCAGACGTATTGCAACAAGTGCGCATATGTGTTCCGGACAGATACGTGTGGCGGCGGCGGCGGCCGCAGCTGATAGCTGTGCCGCGCGGCCTCACTAAGCTGGTGACTGAAGCGCCCTTTACGCGCGCCCTCCGTATCCTCAACCGTATAGCAGAAGACATAGATATATTTTCTTGTACTCTGGGTGGGTTCATAGTAAGAGGTCTGTTTGAAATTAGTTATGGTCCTTATGTGATATAGATACGTGTTTGAAATAGCAATAAGTACATATCTGTAATCGAAAATTATTAGCTTGTAACTGTGTAGTTGGAGTTGGTAAAATAGTTGTCTACATTATCGCATTAGGTGATAAACCTGTGAAGATAATTGTATAGTGGAAAATAAATAAATAAATAAATAAATAATTACAAACGATTTTAGCGAGATCACTCTTTACAGAATGTAATACATTTACATAAAAGCTACTTTTAAGTTTTTATTGTCATGTCTGACTCCTTTTAAGCCTGTATTTTGTAGTACCTAAACAATTTCAGAATACATAGTATGTGACTAAAATGCCTTTTTTATTTTACACTTGATATCAGTATCACACATCATGTTGAAAAATCAATATACATAATTAGATAGGCAAATAACATTAAAAAAATCACAAATATTAAAATGAGCAAAAGGTGATTATAAAGTAACCTCCTGGACGCGCCGCCGCGCCGGTCGACGCTCGCGCTCAGCTGATTGTGTCGCGAGTGCCTACTGCCCACAGAGTACTTTTTTATACTGCCTACTAAACTATTCACCACTGTGCCTATGGTACCAGGGCGCCGCTCCAAATGACAAATTTACATTAACTTTTCATATACTCCTTTTTTGCATAAAGCAATTTGATTGACTATTTGATTATTTTATTAATTTGTTTACGAATTTATAGACATTTTTAATAAACAATTAGGTAGTTTGTTACGATCACTGCCCAAGGCCAAGCCAAAGGTATACTTTGACGTCGATACAAGCGTCATCAAAGGCGCCGCCTGCCCTTTTCAGTTCGCAACACGTGCAAATTAAATGTCGAGTATTATTAGCTATTTTTTATTTATTAAATGCAAGTTGTATTTAAAAATGGATGCGGGTTAAAATAATTACAAATATTACAATAAAATAGTTATAATGATATACAGATATTAACACACATTTTACAACAGTAATTGAATAAAAATATTTAGGTAAAAAAGGGTTCAATAAAAATATTAAAATACAAATTTATACATTAGAATTAGAGGTACTCGTCCGCGGATGACGGTGAGTATCGCGCACATAGCGTTCAAAATAATCACCTCCACATTCTCTGCATAGGTGACACCTAAAAGTTAACTGTTCACCGACACGAGATAAAAGTTGAGTATTCGTTTTGATTTGATCGAATGCCCAAATTATTTTTTCTTTCAACATGTCGCGGGTTTCGAGTGTGCGACCAGTATACACTAATGTCTTTACATGCCCCCACAAATGGAAATCCATTGGTGTGATATCTGGCGATCTGGGAGGCCATGCACAAGGCCCGCCACATCCGATCCAGCGTCCAGGGTATTTTCTGTTTAAATAATCCTTAACTTGACGAGCATAATGCGCCGGTGCCCCGTCAAGTTGATAATAAATATTGCTAGAGATGTAAGTGGTAGGTATATCCTCTAACAATTCCGGCAGCGTGTCGGTGAGAAAATTGTGATAGCTTTCACCATTTAATCTTTCTATGAAAACTGGGGGCCAGTAACGTTGTATTAATAAGGCCTGCCCACACATTGACATTAAACCGGTGTTGAAAGCTATGTGGTCTTGGTTCATGTGGATTTTCATAGCACCACAAGCGTTCAATGTGCGTATTAAATAGCCCTATTCTGCCAAATGTTGCTTCATCAGTCCATAAAATGTTAGCTCGTTCAGCAGCTAGTAACCAATTACAAAATGTAACTCGCGCAGGTTTGTCAGCTTCGCTGAGTTCATGAACACGGTGCAGGTGAACGGGGTACTTCCCTTCATTGTGTATGACAGTCCATGCGTAATATTGTGACACATTGTACTGTCGGGCTGCTTTATAAGTGCTCGCTGCTGGATTGTCTTCAAAAAACTGCAGTATGTCTTCCTGCTCACGTACTGTGCGCCGCGGTGGACGACCATGATCGATTGATACAGGCTGGAATTGCCAGTAATCTCGCAATCGCTGTGTAGCGCCTAGCATCGTAGCGTAGCACGGTGCACGTGAGTTAGGAAATCGCCTTGAATATTCACGGCAGGCTTCACTAACGTTATCATTGCAAATTGCTAAAATTCGCACCATTTCGGTATACTCAACATTTGAGTATCGGTATGCCATCGTAACAAGGTAACGTTCACAATAATCTCACAACGAAAAGACAAGCGTCGCGGGCGCATCAAAGGCGACTGACGACACATCAGCGTGACCAGATTTCATATGACGAATCTACTGCTTGTGGAGGTTAAAATCTATTGAATTCTACCAAAACAGAACGAGAAAATACTAAAAATCTATTTATTTTTTTGCTGTCGTGTTACAACGTAAAAACATGAATGTTTTCTAGATTAAACGATAAAATAATAAAATAACAAAGAAACCACCATTAATTAAAGAAACTAATGTTTTTTTAAACTTAAATTCTAAATAAAAATATAATTAAAAAAAAAGAATAAAATGAAACTTAAAGTTAAGATTCTTCATCTTTATGTTGGGTAACATTGTCATAAAGCTGTTTTGAGTCCATTAACTTGATAATACTTCTGTCAGGATCAAATCTGCTACATCCTCCTTCCAACTGTCGTAGCCCCTCTTTTCCATGCATTATTGCTCCAACATTCTTATTATTAAATCGATTTCGATCTTGATTTTTAATCCTATTAATATCGGAAAATATTCTTTCTACTTTGGCGTTTGACAAAGGTAGTATCGTCATTTGCTTCACAAATCGGGACAAATTGCCATACTTTGGTTTGCTATTCGCATCACAGATTTGGCTGACTTCACTCCAAAATTTATCCACCATAAAAGTTTCAGATGTCAAACTAGAAGTTGACAATAAATTAGACACGGAAACATCTAATTTTAATTCCCTATATTCATTGTCAACAATTTGCATGTTTTCGGTTGCAACTATGTTAGGAAACCTTTTGAGTATTCCTATCAGAGTTCGAAATTCACCATACACTGCTTTTTGGGGATCGATGAATGACAAATCCTGCAAAAAGTTATCTTGTACAGGCAGTCTTTGCAGAAATTGGTTACTCAGCTCGATCAAAAATGACTGAAATCTGTTAAGGAATTCCTCAATTTTAGATCTCATTCTAAAATCATCTTTTAATGATTCCAATGTCATTGCTACGTTTGTGCCCAGGTACATGTTTTGTATAGGAAGGAAATGCATTTTTGAACTTGGATCTATTGACTGAAGTGGAGTAGTTTTTATATAATTTATCTTCATAAAACAACTCAAAATTGAACTCATCATGTTTTGTATGTCTGTTCCAATTTTATGAATAAGTGTCTGATCACTTTGAAAAATAACGTAAAATTTTGTAGTTATGGGTAACATAAAATCTAAAAAGTAAAGATTAAGTTTTGCCTCATCGCTGTTAAGGTGATCAAATATAAATTGACAATTAGCATTGGCATTCTTATTCCCTAAAAACTCATTTTGAAAAAAAAAATTTTAATGCTGACCACTGCTCTATAATTCGGTGAATGCATTGATGTAGAGAAAGCCACCTGATATCATAATGACGAAACATATGGTGAGTTGGAGTGTCAGTAAAATTTTGAAATTCTACAAAGTCTCTTTGTCGTTGGCTACTGTGAGAGAAGTACGAAAAAACATCTTTGAAAAACAACTCTATAGAACGAGGTAATTTTTTGCATGCATAACTCACTGAAAGGTTTATTGAGTGGCAAATACATTTGAAAAAAAACGCAGTTTGGGTTGACTTCCCTAATTTTAGATACCACGCTACTCCTGTCGCCGAACATTACATTCGTGGTATCAGCAGCGAACACTATTAAATTGGCTATAATAAGGTTTTTTTCAGATAAGGCACATGTTAAACTATCAAACAAATCCTGCGCAGTATCACCTTTTAAGTCCACATTACACAAAAATTTTGTTTGTGGAGATTGCAATTTTTCGGAGTAGTACTTTACTGCTGCTGCAAGTACCTTGGTAGTACTGTCATCTGTGCTCTCGTCCAAAATGAGCGAAAATTCTGGGCTTCTCTCAGTTTCATTTTCTGGTCTTGGACGTAATTCTGCAAGCTTTTTTCGAAGTTATTGCCTAAGACGTTGTAGGCAATTGCGGCAGATTTAGTTCTTCTACAGGAAAAACGTTTTGCGATTTCGTAGTCGTGAAATGCCCTTGAAATAACTTCGCTTACATGATCCATTACGCGAAAAGTATTATTATGTTCAACTAAGGCAGCTACAATGCTGATTTCTGCTTTTTTTACTTCTTCCGAAATGGTTGATGTTTTGAAAATCGTATCAATCTGTAACCAAAGAAGTTAAAAATAATTATACAGGACATTTCATATAGCGCTATGTAGTATCAAATACTAAGCAATTTTTACATAACATTTAACATGAATAAACACACATATAGTTGTATAGTAATTGTTATGTAAATGCGTAGATAATAAACGTACACAAAAAAACAACGAATGTTTGAATTTTGAGTGAAAATAAAATTCATAAACTTTAAAACATAATACGGGTTCACATTACTGCGTAAGTTGAAAGTATTAAAAAAAAGTCTTAACAAGAATAATTAACTAAGAATTCATTCCACATATTAACGTAAGTAACTTGCATACCTGAGAAATGCCGGAATATCCTTTCATATTTTTTATATGCTTTGATGTGGCCATGTGTTCTTTCAAAGACGCCACTCTACTTAGTACTTCACAGTTGCATGCTTTACAATGAGCACTCGTAGTGTTTACCTTAGATTTACATAACCAACTTTTAAATGAGGGATCTTGCTCCCATTCATCGCGATATCCTTGTGTATATTTACGTTTCATTTTAAATTCGATTATAAAAAATCTCAATAAAGGAATTCCCACTAGTCTATCCACATTCCATGCTCAGAAAACGACTAATAAAATTGTGTTGTCTAGTCTATCATTATAGAAGCAACTTTAGAATGATCTAAGTTGAAAGACGTATTTTACAAAAATAGCCTTTATCTATTGTTAAATGGAATTCAATTTGCTATGCCCACAGTAACGTTCATTCAATAATAAGGGAATCCACTCAAATCACTTTCGTGTGCTGCCAACTGTAAAATTAAAACTTTTTGGACATGGATGCTTGGTTTAAAGCCTAATATTTTTTGACAGCGAATTAATACCAAAACCTACCAATGTGTTTCTCATTTCTACTAAATTCTACTAAGACATTTTATCCTACTAGATTATCATCTTATTTGGTTCAAATCTACTAAAAAAAGTAGAAATCTACTAAAAATACATGTTACTAATTAGGTTTATGAGTATCGTCGCCTCCTACACCCCATTGCGCCAGGGGTGGAGACCCCTCCCTCGCCACGCGTTTTTTATTGCTAACTGCCTAACTAGGACTGTTACCGTTTAGAAGCTCCAATTAAAATATTTTTATTTTTGTATGAAAATAAAAATTGAAGAAATATATTTTTTTTCTTACAGATGTTGTTGTTATGGTGTAAATAATATATTCCCCAAAGGTCTTCAGTAAATAAAAAATGACCCTGTATATACATATTGAGAATCTAAATTGAGAATTTAAACTATACGCGTGTGTGTGTTTGTTAGTTGCACGCACACATACACCGTGTATGCACGGCCTTCAAGCCACATCTCCGTGCCCGTCGGAGTGGGGAGCGTTAGGTTTTTTTTTCGTTACGGAATTTCTGGATTCGGTCCCCGCGCTCAAGGCCCGCGATGGAACTATGCAATAGCTTAATAATAGAATAAAATATAATATAACATAATATAAAATATTTTCAATAATAAATATTAGATCCAATAACAAGTGAAGATAAATCTTTGTGCACCTTCTTATTCATATTGTAAGCACAGAGTTGAGTGAGATTTAGCATAGTTAAAATCAATATGAAGAGGAAGAGCAGAAAGCAAAAATTTATATATAATATGTCCTAAAAATACATTATTTAAAATGGAACATATATTGTTTACGTTTATGTCTCATAGTAAATACTCAGAACAAGAACCCACTAGCGGCTGGTCGTGAAGCGGCATGCAGTAGCGGCAGGCCGGATTTCGATTTTTACATGAAACCGTATGATATTGACACTGACTTGCGGCTAGCCTAGCGCTTCGATTGTCTTAAATTGCGTACAGCAAGGGATTGCAATATATTGCTGGCGTTTAGTTGCGTCACCACGTACCATACGATAGAATAGAAGTATAGCACTGGCTCGTAATAGTTAACATTGCGATTACTATAAATCCTTACATATAAACATTACGTGTTGTTGGTCCGCAATGAACTGTCCGCGATGAATCCCGAAAATACTCAATAAATTTTAAAGAAATTGTGTAAATGTGTATGGTTTGCTAGAACTTGAGAGAAAGAATAGTTTTTATTTCGATATGTGACCCTCAATATTTATTTATATAATTTAAAGATTTTTCAAAGGACGAAGGGCTGTTGAAAAAGGCAGAACAAAGTTTGCCTGGCAAGCTAGTTATTTTACACACAAAATACGTGAAGGAAATCTTTGTACGCCTTCTTAAGCCTATTGCACGCTCAGAGTAGAGTGAAATTTGCCATTGTTAAAATTTATATGAAAACGAAGTGCAGAAAGTAAAAAAATTATATACAATATGTGCTACAAATATATTGAATAAAATGAAACATACATTGTTTACTTTCATACTGCCAATCTCTCATAGAAATACTCAGAGCAAAAACGCACTAACGGCTGGTCTTGAGGCGGCATGCAGTAGCGGCACGGCAGGCCGACCTCTATTGCATGCCGCACTTCTATTTTTACATGAAACTGCAAGATTTCGACGCACTACAGGCGTGTCGGTTGAATGATGCGGCGCGCCGCATGCACTCCACGCACTCGGATCGCTTAGCCACAAGCGGCGGTTCCCGCTCCAGTCAGTCACTAGACATAATACGCAGCACGCGCGTTTCTATTTTAAAACAGAAAAGTTCATTTTAGAAATCAAAGGCCGCTTCTATATGGGATAACAAATGCGCTGATTACTAAAAACTATATAAAAACGCAATAACGATGTCGACGTCCATCATGTCTAATATTTCTAGGAGCACTGTCGATTGCGGCGGACCGTAACAGAACCGTGTCGTAACGGTTAGCCGGAATACGGAGTGCCGTATCACAGCCAGCCGATAGTGCATTTCTGGCCTAAGACCAATGCCAAGCACTTAGTACTCTCTGTGTCACTTACCGTTACCGGTCGCACAGGTTAGAGATCGTCGGCAAAGAATATTAAAATGTTGCCAATAAACCAAGTGATTTAAATACATAATACTATACTAGGCCAACAAATTACCGACAGATTGAGTTAATGAGCTGTGAATTTTACGTGATTTCAAATATTCCTTTTTCAATTGTGTGCGAGTATCACATTTACTTTATATTCTATGTTATATTTTATATTTCTTTGTGGGTGAAAATGAAACAGAGCTAGCTTAATATAGAAACCTAAGAATTTAATAACTCACAGTCGAATTTCAACCACTAAGCTGGTTTTAAATAAAGCAAAACACGCCATTTGGCATAAGTCCAAAACATAAAATATAATTTTTGCCGTGTAGTGGCGGTTAAGAATATCCACTACCCCATTCTTCCCGTGGGTGTCGTAAGAGACGACAGAGTGAGACAGGCAGGAGATGGGCAGCAGCATCTTCCTGATAACAGCAATGATATAAAAAAAATGCGGTTGCCAACCCGCTCGCCAAGCGTGGCAACTATGGCAAATATTCCCCCATGAGTAACGACGCAAACAAACGGTCTCCAATCTCCGGCGGCCTCGCTATTCCTGGCTACGGTGGCGACCATGGCAACGGCGGGGCAGGGGGTGCTAAGAATCTCCGGTGGAGGTTCGGTTGCCACCTACGACGACTCGACCTGGCAACATATAACGCACGAGCACGTGGACTGAGGACTGATGAGAAGATACTGGAGTTGGAAGAAGAGGTAGACAAGTTGCGCTGGAATATTATTGGGTTATCCGAGGTCCGAAGAGAGGGGGAGGACACGGTAATCCTCGAGTCCGGCAACTTGTTCTATCACCGGGAGGGCGACCATCAGTCCCAAAAAGGTGTCGGATTTATCGTCCACAAGTCTCTCGTCAACAACGTTGTAAAGATTGGGAGTGTGTCGATGAGGGTCGCGTACCTGATACTCAGAATCACCAAACGGTATTCGCTGAAGGTCATACAGGTTTACGCCAACCAACCTCGGCACATCCCGATGGGGAGGTGGAAGAAATGTATGAGGATATTTCTAGGGCCATGCATTCCTCCAAAACCCACTACATGGTGTTGATGGGAGACTTCAGCGCAAAACTAGGCACAAGAGAAAGCGGCGAGCTGAAGTTAGGGAAATTTGGAGTAGGGCAACGGAACCGTAGGGGCCAGCAGCTGGACGACTTCATGGAGAAAGAGGGACTCTTTATGATGAATCTTTATCTTTCTTTCAGAAGCGGCCCCACAGGAAGTGGACCTGGTCGAGCCCCGACGGTTCGACAAAAAAATGAGACTGACTTCATTATGACGACCAGACGCCAACTGTTCACTGATATCTCAGTGATTGCAAGGGTGAAAATTGGCAGCGATCACCGAATGGTTAGAGGCACTCTGAACCTAAACGTTAAGTTGGAGAGGTCTCGTCTAATGAAGTTGATAAATAAAAGGCGTGCGTCGAGTACAGGCATTTATTTAGACTGACGACGGAAATACAATGCGCGCTTACCGGCTAAAACTCCCCACTACATTTTATAATATGCAACACCTCCACCCTTATTTTGTACTATACATAATGACTAAGAACGTAAGTTATACTTAAACATAATTATTTTATATTGTTACAAATATTCTACCTAAGAAAATAATATCAATGAACCTACTACTCAAATAAATATTACATACAATTTCTCTCTTTCAATTTTTTAATTATTACTTGTAACAATCATCTATACCATATCGTCTGACTGGTTTACATACATGGCGAATACCACGCGATTCATTAGTGACATTGTTGTTCGAGCCATGATTATCTATTTCCTACACATTGGGCACGTTAGACGTTGGCAAAGTTGCCGTTAATACAGTGTCAGTGTCGTCGGTTGGGTTTGGCGATGCGCCCTCCGGTACGGCCGCGCTTGGCCTGTTAACTGGCTCGTCGGACTGTTTGTCGTTGTTTACTGGAAACATTAGCGAAGGGCGGAATCGTTTTACAGGTGATTCGCGTATTGTGTGACTGTTACGATTGTTATTATTATTACGTGTTAAGTTTACTATTTTGGTTACATCGTTTGACACTCTTCGCTTTAGTTGGTCGATATGTCTGTGTATCTCGGTTCCAGTGATAGATCTGACTTTGTAATCCGTACTACCTGTCCTCTCTATTATTGCCCCTGCCGTCCATTCCACACCTAAACCAGACCTTCTCATCTGCCGCAAATTGTCTAATCGCTCCCTCAGTTGATGTTTCTGCTCGCTTCTGCCGAGCTTTTACTAATTCTTTCTGATCAGGTTTCAAACAATCTAAACGCATGCGTAAATTGCGCCCTATGCACATTTTTGCAGGGCTTTCACCGGTTGTGTAGTGTGGTGTATTTCTATAAGCTAATAGGAATCTACATAAAGACGTGTGTATGTCTGTTCTACACTTAATTGCTTTTTTAATATTACGTTTACACATTTTAACGGCATTTTCCGCCGCCCCATTCAAAGCCGGGTGATATGGGGCTGAAAAAATTTGTTCAATTCCATTGGAACTTAAAAATTGTCTGAACTCGTTACTGAAAAATGGAGGACCATTATC